AGTGTTTCTGAAATGAACACATATTCTGCTTTGTAGTGGGTGAAATTGTATGTACATTTGGTTGGATTCCCTATTAGGTCACAGGCTTTTTGAAGGGATAGATAATTCTTACGTCTTTGCACCTCACCCCTATCCCCACCTAACTCTGTTCCTGGGATATAGTAGGTGCTCAAGTAAAATTGCCCTGATATAGCCCCAGAAGCCAGGAAACCCAAGACTTTTTCTTCTTCTTTGCTGTATCCCCAGTGGCTACAATAGTGCTTGGTCTGTGGCATTTGCTCAGGAAATACCTGTTGAATGGATAATTTAATTGCCAAATGGATCCTTGTCATATAGTACCAAGTGGTGGCAACTTTATATAACCACTGATCTTCATTTTATCCTGAAATTTCTCTTTTCCCATTGAAATGAATTTCCTGTTTGAGTATGCTAAAGTGGATCTGGAAGCAAGGCAAGATCTCCCTTTACTTTACTATTCCATTATTTCCTTCATTATTTCATCACTTATCAAATACTTACTGAGCACCTACTACAGATCAGACACTGTGGAAGGACTGTAGTCCCAAAGTGAAGATATTGTCTCTGTCTGGTTAAAGAGAGAGAGAAGTTAACAATTATAACACGGTGGGACAAAGGCCTTGAGAGAGATCTACAAAGGATGCCTTGGGAATGCCCTTTGTGGACAGGGCAGAGTAAGCATCTGGAGAAAGTGATTTCTGATCTGAGCCTGGAAGGACAAATAAAAGTTAATCAGGATGATATGCCAAGCAAAGGAAACAGTTTGCACAAAAGCACACAGGTGAGAGAGCATGATTTAAATACAATGTGACTGAAGTGCACAGTGCTTTTGGTTAAACATTAAGAGATGCAAAAAAGAAACGTAGATCATGAAGGTTTTGAGTACCATGCTCAGTAAATTGTCTTGGAAGTGTTGAATGGTTTTAGGCAGAATAGTGATTGAATCTGGCAGCAGGGATAGGATGCAATGGAATTGGGCAAATCTAGAGTTAGGGAGCAATTAGAGTACTCAAAGCAAGGAATAAAGAGGAACTAAAAGGCCCAGCCAATGTGGCTCAGTTGGTTGGAGCATGGTCCTGTGCACCAAAAAGGTTCAGGTTTGATTCCTGGCCAGGGAGTAAAAAAAAGAGGGACGTAAGGAAAGCAAGAATTACAAGAATGAAAAGATGATGGATTTAAGATACCTTTATAAAATGTACGTAATTGATGAACACTTGTAAAAAATTGCTTTTAGAAATAACTGCATGGTTGCTCAAAGATAAATGAATAAAGATGTTTAATACAGCATATTTTTGCAATAGTTAAAAATTGAAAGCACTCTGTGTCCATCGATATGGGATCGATTAACAATTTAATTAATGTATAATTGTATAATTTAATTATAATTAAAGCATCTTTAAAAAGAATAATGTATAAAGATAAAAAATAAATATTAACAATAAACAAACTGTAGAGTTATGTATAATATCACATTTTGTATAAATGTATATAACATATATTTGTGTTGTTTGTTGGTATATGGATTGAAAGAAATTCTGGAAATATTTGTATAAATGCTGTCAACCATGTTTGTCTTTGGGGAATAAGACCAAGGGTGATGGGCTTTCACTTTCCAATTTATAAACTTGTGTTTTAATTTTTTTTACATAAATAACTAAATGCAACATGTGATCCTGGATAGGAAAACATGTTTTCTTTCTTTCTTTCTATAAAGGTCATACATGGAACAATTGGTGAAATTTGAATAAGGTTTCTAGATTAGATAATAGTATCATATCAATGTTACTTTCTTGATTTTGGTAATGGTACTATGTACATGCAAGAGAATGTACTTGTTTATGGGAAATGGGGCATTATGTCTGAAACATTCTAAAATGGAACAACAAATGTGGTAAAATGTTAACATTTGGGGAGCCAGGTTTAAAATAAACAGGAATTATTCTATCTTTGCACTTTTCTGTAAGTCTGAAATGATAAAATTAAATGTTTTTTAAAAAGGTATAGAACAGATTATAAAGTATGCTGCCATTTGTGTGTGTGGAAAAATGGAATATAAATATATTTGTGTGTGTATATATTTGTAAATATACAAATGATCTATGAAAAGACACACAAGAACAAGCACTATTAATGGCCTTTGGAAATGAAAATTTGGTGGCTGGGAACAGGAAAAAGGAAGACAAATTTTTCATTGTATGTTCTTTGATACCTTTTAATTTTCACTTAGTAAATAATTTGCCTATCAAAAATAGATACAATTTAAAGTAATAAAACATTTTGTATAATGGAGAATTTCAAACATACTCAAAAGTAGAGAGAATGTGCAGTGAACACATACCCCAATCATTACCCAGAGCCCACAATTATCAAGATTTTGCCACATTGCTTTATCTGCACCACCACCACCCCCATTTCTTTTGTTTGCTTTGTTGAAGTATTTTTTTAAAAATTCCTGATATCATTCCATCCCTACATATTTTAGTAAGCTTCTCTTTAAAATATGCCCTGGCCAGTTTGGCTCAGTGGTTAGAGCATCGGCCAGTAGACTGAGGGGTCCTCGGTTCTATTCTTGCCAAGGGCACGTACCTCAGTTGCAGGCTCGATCCCCAGCCCGTCAGAGTGCCTGTGGGAGGCAACCAACCGATGTGTCTCTCTCACATCGATGCTTCTCTCTGCCTCTCTCCTTCCACTCTCTCTGAAAAGCAATGGAAAAAATATCCTTGGGTGAGGGTTAAAAAAAAATGTTCACAATGATCTGAATAGGCTATTAAAATACTACTCCCTTTTCTAACTACATATTTTGGTGAGTCAAGATCTTCTTCACACACTTCAGCCAAAACAGCATACTGCAACAGAGTCAACGCAGAAGCAGATATGAGAACCCAGATAATTTATATTAAGTCAGTAAGACATTATAAAACTGTAAATAATGCCACTCTTCTTACTAAATTTATTTTATTTTGGAAAGTATAGTTATTTTTCATAAATTATGTTAATATTTAATGGGTTTATTATTGTTTTCAAATGAATTAATAAATAAATATTTTTAAATTTCTCAATTTTAGTTGTTAATATGGTAAATGTTGATAGATACAATCCATATAAGCAAAAGCTCTTTGGGGAGGGGTCTTCAATAATTTTTATAGTGTAGCCCAGCTGGGCGTGGCTCAGCAGCTGAGCATCGACCTAGGATCCAGGAGATCGTGGTTCGATTCCCGGTCAGGAAACATGCCCAGGTTGCAGGCTCCATCCCCAGTCGGGGGGGCATGCAGGAGGCAGCTGATCAATGATGACTCTCATCATTGATGTTTCAACTTCCTCTCTCACTCTTCCTTCCTCTCTCTGAAATCAATAAAGATATATTTTAATAATAATAATAATTTTTATAATGTAAAGGAGTTCTGCCCTGGCTGGTGTAGCTCAGCGGTTAGAGTGTTGGCCCACACACCATGACGGTCCCAGGTTCAATTCCTGGCCAAGGGCACGCACCTGGGTTACAGGTTCGATCCCCAGTCCAATCAGGGTGGGTGCCTGCGAGAGGCAGCCAATCAATGTGTCTCTGACATCAATGTTTCTCTCTTTCCCTCCCCCTCCCTCCCACTCTCTCTAGAAATCAATGGAAAAATATTTTCTGGTGAGGACTTAAAAAAAAAAAGTTGTCTTAAACAAAAAGTAAAGGAGTTCTGAGACCAAAAAGTATGAGAACCACTACTTAGTGGATTGCTCAGAAAAAAGTTCATTTTGTAAGTGGCCTTTATACCTAAAAATAGTATAAGGGGATATAAAATTCCTGGATTATATTTTGTTTTAAAAAATCTTAAAAATGCTGTTTCATTGTTTCTAGCATAAAATGCTGTTGTAAAGACGTCTGATGCCAGTCTAATTTTCTTTTCGTTATAAGTGACTAGCATCTTTTGCCTGGATGCTCAAAGAGGTCTTATTTTTTTCAGTTTTGACTATCCTGGGTCAGTTTTCTCCTATATACAATATGCCCTTTCAATATGTAGACTTACTTTTTATTTAATTTCAGGAAAATTTTCTCAAAATTTCATTTTAAATATTTGTTTTGATACATCACTCTGGTTTTCCTTGGGGGAATAAATATATTTGGATGTGTGTTTGTAAAATCTCTTAGTTGTTTTCTTTATCACTTCCTCTTAAAACCTTTTCTTTAAAAAAAAAAAATTCAGCCCTTAATTGTACTTTTTTTCTCATTTTTATCTCTGAAAACAAAAAATAATTTATATTTTTCCCCCTGCGATTTCTTAGTTCTCACTTAATGCCTGACTTTTTCTATCCATATAACTTTTTAGCTTTTGTAATTCTGATTTATGCTGTTCTTTCAAAACATCTATTATTTTCTTTATTTCGTTTAAAAATATTAGATTGAACCTGCAGGGCCCAAAGTGTTTACTTTGAAAAACTTAGCAGCCTCAGACTGGCGGTGCGGCTCAGTTGATTGTCTCCTGCACCAAGGGGTTGCTGGTTCGATTCCCTGTCCTGGTTTTGAGTGATGATGGTTGATGATTCTCTCTCATCAATGTTTCTTTCTCTCTCACCCTCTCCCGTCTTCTCTCTGTAAAATCAATGAAAGCATATTTAAAATAAGTAGCAGGCCCGGGGAAAAAAAACATAAAAATATTAGGGTGAAGTTTTCATTTGCTTTGTGACCACAATTTTCTAGCGTGTCATTGTCTACTGGACCAGTATTAGGTTTACAGTATTTTCACCTCGTTTCCACAGTAACACGTATGGGATTAGGTCACATTCTTTATTTGTTCCCAGTCTTAAATGAAGTAGATTTCCCAAGTAAACGTAGAGCAGTCCTCCCTCCGGCCGAGCCCCGGGAGGCCCGCCCTCGCCCTCACTACGCGCCTGCGGGCCCCGCCCACGCGCTCCGCACACTGCTGGCGCTGGCCCCGCCCCCGCCCCGCGCGCGCAGTCGCTGGCTGCTCTCGCCCATGGGAAGCTCGCTGTAAAATTTCCCGCCATTTGCAGCACGTCCTGAGGAGAGCTGGTTGATTTCGGTGAGAGCTGCAGTCTTCTGGGATCACGGCGGGCAGTCGGGCTGTAAAGGAACTACTGGTAAATTTAAGACTCAGCCAAATCCCTCTCACCCGGAGAAACCAGGCAAGTCTTGCCCTCACAAACCTTGTTAGCTGCCCTTATAGGGGTTCGTCTGGCCAATTCATTTGACTAAAATTGTTGTTGCTGCCTCTAAGCAAATCAGGGCATATATAGTGGGGCCTTTTCAGTAGTTCTGTTGACTCCCTTCCTGTTAGAAGTTACTGTATAGTGAGCAACAAATTGAAATCTGAAGCTCATGGCTTTGAATATGTAATACGTTTGCATTGATTAAGTTTTTATCGTGAATCTTAATTTACGTGAAAAAAATTTAAAACGTGGTTCAAACTAGCCATCATTCTTTTAGCAAACCTCTCCATAAGCTATGTTAAAACTAATTTTTAGAGAAAACACTTCGGTGGGGGGAAAAATTTTTTTTTCATTTTCCCAATTTAATTTCAAAGGAAATCAAGCTAGTAGATATTATATCCTTTAAAAAATTTTTTTGAACCATCATCTCCTTTAATCCTCATGACAGCCCTGTGAACTCACACCTACTAATGTCCCCCTTTATATATGAGGAATCTGAGGCTCAAGATAGGCTCCACAAGTTCTTTGAAGTCAAAATGGCAGGACCTATGTTTCAAACCCAGAGTTGCTTAAAAGCTCAGCTTTTGAACCATTTACACGCAAGTATATAATTACCAGATCTTAGAGATCGTACTGTTTTTGAAGATTATTGATAATTATTAAATACAGAGCTAATGGCCAAGTTGGTCAGCATCCTGCCTCCTTGTCTTCCTTCACTTATGTTGAGACTGCAAAGGCTGACAGCATCTTCATTCTGGGGGTTCTGTTTCTGTTTTTGCGCTTTGAAATTACAGGCTTTAGGAGACTGAAACACGGGAAAGTTGTTTTGCCGCAGCCATTTAGGCCTTTCCTTGTTTTCTTCCATGCCTCAGAAGACACACTGATCCATTACTGTGGAATTGTCCACAGACAGCGTGGCAGGCCCAAGTCGTCTTTCTTGGCGCCTGGGCAGTATGGGCCCTTTGGGCCTGGAGAGCGCACCGCAGTGGCAGCGCTGGTGACAACCGATGGGGGAGGCCGCACCTCGTGGCAGCGCTGGGCTAGGGGGACTATGAGGCCCTGCGGGCCACGTGGGCCGATATTCTTAAATAGTATATTCATGAAATTAAGCATATGAACTCATTAAATATATAAGTAATTACAGCTCATTATGTATTACTACAGTTCTGTATTTTTGACATGTCAATTTCTTAATTTAAAAATCTTACAAACTCACATTTACATAGTTATGTATTTAACAAATTATATGGAATTAGTATTGGAAGAAAATATGGGACATAAGGTTGCCATGTCTAACAGAAAGACTTACTTAATGTGATAGCAAGAACTTGACACACGGAGTAAGAAGACTTGAGTTCTAATTCCAGAGCTGCCACTAAATAAAGTAGAACTTTGGACAAGTCATTGAATTTCATTGAACATTAGGTATATCTTTGGGAAAATAATGGGATTGGACAAAATGTTAAATGATTTTCAAGACCCCTTCCAAATCTATGATTCTGAGTTTTTCTGTAGAGTAGAAGGGAAAGAATACAAGCTGAGAAAACATTATTATTCACAAACCATGTTTCCATTAGTTAAAATATATCCCAAGTGGCCCATATATTATCTATATTTGGTCCACTGCTCCTGATTCCATCTCGCAGTATCATAGGAAACTATTAGGAAAGAAATGGATGGTTCCTTTTCTTTTTTTTTAATTAAGAGATTAATTATGAATTAATCCAAAGAGCCTGGAAAACATAAAAAACATAGAGGTAACCCCCCCCCCCCCCGTAATCATACCATTCAAAAAGAATCTCGTCGTTGTCCTATTACTTTTCTAAATATGTATATTTCTTTATAAAAAATGGTATAACATAGTCTGCAGTCTGCTTTTTTTCACTTCAGAGCTATATGTAACTTCCTTTCAACCAGTTGGAATATGCATAATAATATGCCTACATATCAGTAAGATGGGACCGAAGCAAACATTGTTATGTAGATTTTGGAACAGCTTTAATTCTATTCTGCCCCAGGTTATTCCTACTTTTCCTTCATCTGCTGCAGAATGGATTGGTTTCATTGCAACCTGTGTTTCCGAAAAGATGGGGCCCATTTCTTTGTCACCAGCTGTGGCCATATTTTCTGTAAGAAGTGTGTGACTCCGGGTGAGTGACTTACCTGACTTAACTGTTTTCAGATTCAGGCAAAAATGTTTTTAACCTGGAAATGATTAACCATTTCTCTGTGATTCTTGGGATAAAAATCACTTAGTACACCAAAGGTGGTTATGGATACTGTAGGAAAGTGTTGATTATGGAAATTGGAGGACTCTATTAATAATGATTTAGCTAATGGAATACCCATTATTTGTTAGTGCTTTGAAGCCTGTGGCAGTAAGAAAGCCACAAGATTATCAACCTGATTAGAAAAAAAGTAAAAAAATGGGTAGAGCCCTAGCCAGTTTTGCTCAGTTGTTAGAGCGTCAGCCCTCAGACTGAAGGGTCCTGGACTCGGTTCTGGCCAACGGCATGTACCTTGGTTGCAGGCTTGATCCCTGACCCTGGTTGGGGCAAGTGTGGGAGGCAACCAATAGATGTGTCTCACTTCAGTGTTTCTCTTTTTCTCTTTCACTCTCTCTGAAAAACAATGGAAAAAAATATTTTCTGGTGAGGATTAAAAAAAATAATGAGGAGGAGGAATAGAAACGGGGGAAAGTTTGGTTGGTAACAAGAGCCATTTCTAATTGGAAGTGGTCTAGCCTGTGAAATCAATTTGATTAGAAATGATTATGATGGTGGTGGTGGTATAGCCTAGTAAGAAGCTAGGAAAATTCCAGGACAAGCCGAATAGGGAAACTAAGACAGTTAAACAGCAGTTTGCAGCCTCCTAGTAAGTCCTATTTTCCCCAGACCAAGGACATTTGAGAGTAAATGGTTTGCATTTCTCCTCCCCAGCCAGAGGGTAGATAGCTTAAATCACCCTATTCCTGGAGACAGATAACATCCAATTAGCGCCATTTGCCAACCACACCCAAGGACAGACAAATTAAGAATAAACCTCATTTTGGTACATCAGCATAAAGCTGATGAATATTCTATTGATCCGCCCCCAAGACCTCCCCTAAATGCCCAGCCTTTAAAACCCCTGAAAATGAAGTCCCAATGCCCATGCCCACTCCTCCCCTCCTCCAAGGCAGCATGCCAGCACCATCTCCTTTTCCCCTCCGGGGGGTCCCCTCCAGACTTGCAACCAGGGGAGCAATGGGCAGCAGCAGCTTGTCTAGGGCTTAACCTCTGAATCTGTCTCCAAGGCCCCCCCTTCTCTCTCTCTGACTTCTCAGTGAGCCAACGCAGCCCAGCCTAGGCTCTCCTGTTACTTCTATGCTCTTCCTTGTTTCACCGTCCTAAGTATATTTTTGCTGTGGCCAATAAATTCTTGCTTTTCTACACTTTGTCTTTTGATTGAAATCTTTCCTGCAAGAAGACAAGAACCAAGGTCTCCCCGTTTCCCCGGTAACAGTGGTGGTAGTAGTGATACCTTTGCATTTTAAAGAGTATTTTCACAGGTTCTAATTTTATGTATTCTCACCACAATCCCATGAGGTTGTCAATGTAAGAAACATTCAAACCTATAGAGAATTTTTGTGAGTTTATTTGAGCCAAACTGTTGACAGTTGCCAGGAAGCAAAATCTCAATGGATTGAGGTAATGCTCCAGAGAATGGCAGTTTTGCACCTTACTTTATACATTACAATAAAAAGAAGATGTAAGTGGGTTACATGAAATCCATTGGTGATAGATTAGGGAGAAAGCAAAGGGGGGTGGACTTCTGGGATTGGATGAAAAGTAAAATGATAGACACATCTTTTCATAGGTGGGTATAGGCTAGTTAACAGTCAATTAACATAGCAATAACAATGAGGATTTATGGTCTACACCCTGCTGCATTGGTTGTGCCCTGAGGGGTCTAGGAAAAAGAGGAGTTATCCTGAACATTCCAAAGGTGTGGTATGGTAGATGCAAAAGACAATAGACAGGCTCAGTTAAGGTAAAGATTGACTTTTGTCAAGGAAGATTCTAGACTAGGACATGACTACTTGCCATAAACTGCTTTTTGTTAAAAAGTTTAAATTTCAGTCCAGCCGGTGTGATTCAGAGGTTGAGCATCGACCTGTGATCCAGGAGATCGAGGTTCAGTTCCCAGTCGGGCACATGCCCTGGTTGTGGGCTTGATCCCTGGTAGGAGCATGCAGGAGGAATGACTCTCTCATCATTGATGTTTCTTTTTTTTCTTTTTTAATATATCTTTATTGATTTCCAAGAGAGGAAAGGAGGAGGAGAGAGAGAGAGATAGAAACATCAATGATGAGAGAGTCATTGATTGGCTGCAGCCCGCAACCCGGGCATGTGCCCTGACCAGGAATCGAACCCGAATCGCCTGGATCCCAGGTCGACGCTCAACCGCTGAGCCACGCCCGGCTGGGCATCATTGATGTTTCTATCTATCTCTCTCCCTCTCCCTCCCTCTCTCTGAAATCAATAAAGACATATTAAAAAAAAAAAAAAAAAAGTTTAAATTTCAGACCATCTTTTGTGGTTACTTTAGGTCTCTGAGTTTGCAAGGCTGCCACACAGGCCTTCCCTGAGCTTGTCAGGTTAGCATGTGGCCCCTCTTTGTTTACAAGGTAATTATTAATAGACCCACTTTACAAATGAGAAACTGCTTCAGATAGGATAAATGATTTGACCAAGTTCTTGAAGCTGTTAAGTCTTAGAAATGAGATTTGAATTTAAGGTGTTTTAAGACCAGAAGAGGGTCTTAGGATATGGAACTTTGATCAGGAAAGATTTTATAGAAGAGATGTTGCTTCAATAGAGTTTTTTGGTTTTTTCAATATCGTCTTACTGATTTCAAGAGGAAGGGAGAAGAGGAGAGAGATGAAAACATCAATGATGAGAGAGAGTCACTGATTGGCTGCTTCCTGCATGTCCTCTACTGGGGATTGAGCCCACAACCCCGGAATGTGCCCTGACGGGGAATCAAACCGTGGTCTCCTGGCTCAACCACTGAGCCATGCCATCCAGGTGCTTCAGTCAAGTTTTGACTAATAAACTGGAGTTTGCCAAGTGCATAGGCAGGGCAGATCATTGTAGTTCAAGAGAACAACAGGTATAAGGGCATACCATATCATAAAATCACGGTGCAAGGGACTACACATGGTTGAGATTTGTAGAGCATAAAAATAAGATTGGTGATAGATGAGGCTAGACAGTTGGGCAGTTGCCAGATAATGGAAGATTATATTACAGGCTAAAGAACCTGAACTTTATCCTGCAGGTGACGGAGAGCTGTGGAAGTTCGTTTGTTTTGTGTTTTTCTTAAACAGAAGAATGATTTGCATTTACTACCTCACTCTAGCAATAATATAGAGGGAAGCCTGGGAAAAACCTTTAATCCCCAAGGAAAGAAGAGTCAGGTTAGGTAGCCTCTGGAGAAGCTTTTCTGTATATCAGTGATTTTCAGCTGGTGTGCTGTGGCACACTGATGTGCTGCAAGAATTTTTAAAACCTGCAATACCTGACTAGTCAAGGGCACTGGCCTCTTTCCCCTTGGATTGTCAAATAAAAAAATGACAACAGCCAACACAACAATAGCCGTCTAGTGTGAATGAATCAAAATTATACCTATTTTTTTGTCTGATCGGCAAAAATATTTTTTGGTATGCCACAGAATTTTAGTAATCAGTTTATGTGCCATGAGATGAAAATGGCTGCTCTATGTGAACCTCATAACCTTTTAAAATTATCTGGTAATGTAACAAAGCTTTTGACTATAGTAACAGCAGCTCACTTTGGAGCAGTTTGTCTCAGTGAAGCATATGCCATGTGATGGTTTTTCCTGACATGGCATTTATCTTCATAACCGGCACTACTACTAAAATTTCAACTTACAAAGAAAGATTAGGCATTTTAATTTTCTCATCTTTCAGAATGGGTTAATTAGAGAATAAGAATAGGAGAGCTTCAAAACAAGATCAGGAAGATTAACAAAGTGAGAATAGGGAGGAATAATTGGGGAGTTTTCTTAAAGTATATGATCTATGCCTACTGTCAGGTAGGTGGGATAATAAAGAGTAACTTAAAGTTGAAATCACTGATACTCTTGCACTCTTGCCAGTACTCTTGTAAATGTCCTTCAGTACTTCTGCCAGGGCCTTAGAACTCCCTCACCCACAGAAGAAAATTGGTAATTTTAAAGAGGGAGATGGGTAGAGGTACAGTGTAAAAGTCTTACTTGTCATCAACATACAACTTTTGAAATGCTGATTTAGAGAACAGAGCTCAAGCTCATGTCCTTTTTTAGCAAATGGTATTCTAAATTTTTTCTTCTCTTGATAGCCTACCTGACTGTTACCATATACTTTAGGAAAATCTTACCTCATGTCCATGAAAACCAAACCTTTCCCCTTTCCTCCCTAGAAAAATGTTCTGTTTGTGGAGCTGCCTGCAAGCACCTGGCTCTTTCTGATAATGTAAGTTTTACTTCCCCTCGCACCAACCATTTTATCCTGGCCTGTAGGAGGTATACGAAGAGTATAGTTGAATGACTAAGCACTGAAATTTAAAAGAAAGAAATAAACAAAACTCACAGATAGCAATTGTAAAAAAAAAAAATCGGAGTAAACAATAGATAGAACTATTTGTGGCTACTGTTACAGAAGCATGGGATAAGGATAATAATCTACATCTAGAGCAGTGGTGATTGCCTTTTCATTTAGCACAATGAAATAATACCAGGTGCTTTAGAAGGAGTGGTACATCCTTTCCCACATTTGCCAGTGTTTTATTTCATCCCATTGTGGATATGCTCAATGTTTGTGTTGCTCTCTTCAAAGCTGAAACCTCAGGAGAAGAAGTACTTCAAAAGCCCTGTGGAGACAGCTTTGCAGCATTTTAGCCACATCTCTCAGGTATGAGAAACAAAAGTGAAGAAACTGATTCTCCAGGCAAGTTCTAATTGCATCTTATTCTTTATCAAAGCTTCTCTTTGTACACAATGGACAGAAATTGGCCGCTCTGTTTACTTTCTTCACTGATGATATATATCTCAATGGTTAACTTTTACTGACCCAGAATCTGTGAAAGGCTGTAAAAACCACTATGTAGCTGACATCTTGCCTTGTAGTTTCCAATTCTATTAAGTAATTTTTAAGAATAAAGAAGGTTCTAAGGAGCTTTATCATCTTTCTGTGTAGACTAATGAATCTTTTAAAAATTAATTTGAGCCCGGCCGGGCGTGGCTCAGTGGTTGAGCATCGACCTAGGATCCAGGAGATCAGGATTCAATTCCCGGTCAGGGCACATGCCCGGGTTGCAGGATAGGCAGCCGATCAATGACTCTCTCATCATTGATGTTTCTGTCTCTCTCTCCCCCTTCCTTTCCTCTCTTTGAAATCAATAAAGTTATGTTTAAAAAAAAAATAAAAAATAAAAATTAATTTGAATATATAGGCCTGACCCTGCAAACAATAGATTTAGTGGTCTCTCAACCTTTCACTTATATACTTAAGTTCAAGAAAGGATTTCTTGTTTCCCATTCTCACTTTTCAGTAACCTTTCTTAGTAATGCATATATATTTAATTCTTCATTTAGTGTTCATAATTGGTTGCCTGAATTTTAGAAAAATATTTTTCTTGATGCATCATATGTTGGCATACCATTGACTTGGTCAGGAACAAAAGGAATGTAGAAAAACAGAGAAAAAAGTCAGGAGAGCCATTTGAGAGAGTTCCTAAATTGTAAAAGCTTTGGTTTTTCCCTTGTACTCTCAGTTCTCCACTGAGATTATGTCATAGTCTCATGGGGTTGCTATCTTGGCACGTTTCTTAAGATTTTTATCACTATGCTTCTTCTACTCTTATCTCATTCTTAGGAAAGTATCCCTTCCCTAAACATGAAGAGGAGCCTTAGTCATTTTCTGGCCAAAGACAGTAGATTTCATTTTTCTTTGGTTCACTCTTCAATACTAACTCTGGAGAGAGAGGAAGGGGAATTGAGGCTTTGGCTGCATCCTGCTTTTACCTGCTTGGGTGAAACATCACATTTTAGATACTATTTAACATTATAGGGAGATAAAATCCAGCTGAGGGCTGAAGGAGAAATGTAAACAAGGTCACATGAACAAGAGAAAGAGCAGACCTTTGGTTAATAACTAAACCCAGGATTAGTTAATGATTAGTAGAGAAATTATATGTAGTCTGAATCTTAACCTACCTAATCATGGGACCAATTACACATGGTCAAATAATCAAGATAAAATAAACGGAAAGGGTCAGTTAATCATCACTTTAGTAAAGGGCCAGTTTGGTGAAGTCAGCAATGTCTGAAAATGTGTTTTCCTAATCTGTGAAGTTAAATAAGTGATCCAAGTAATGTCTAGATTGCCTCACTAGGCTTCTGCTCAAATTTTCCTTTCTCATTCAAACCTTTACTGACCCATATGTCTTAAATAATAGCCCCAACACTTCCTACTTCTTATCCTGATTTTTCATCATAGCACTTATCTCTAACATTATGTAATATATTTGTTTATTGTTTGAATCTGGCACTGAAATGTAGTAAGCTTCATGAAGGCAGAGATTTGGTTGGTTTTGTTTATTGTTATATATCAAGCTCTTTGGATAGTTCTTAATATGTAGTGGACACTCAAAATATTGTTGAATGAATGAATGTTGATCTAAATATCCACTTGTGGGTTTTTCTGTTGTTAATCCTCACTTGATATTTTTTTCCATTGCTTTTTAGAGAGAATGGAATGGAGGGAAGGAGGGGGAAAGGGGGGGAGAAAGACAGAGATCAATTGATTACCTCCCACAGGCACCCTGACCCAGGCTGGGGATTGAACCTATAATCCTTTGGTTCATGGGCCCACACTCTAACCACTGAGCAACACCGGCCAGCGCTCGTTTGTGTTTTAATCATCACCAATCTCTGTAATGACTTGACAAGGGCATTTTTTCTGCTGTACTACTCTCTCTGGCCAATAGTTGATCAAGCTGCTCCTTTAGAATTCTTTATTCACCTCTAGATAAAACTAACTATATTTGGGGATTGGAGAGCCTATATGTACCTGATAGCTTTCTTCTGTTCCAAGGTCATAGACTACATGCACTCTTATCCACAACTAGACATCTTGCAAATGCATGCCAGTAATTGTTCTTTCTTTGTAAAGCCTCTGATTTCTGTAGGCAGATTTTTGCTCTGTCCTTTGTACTCCTATCCCACCTTGCTCTTAACTCTGCAAAAGTGTTTTAATTTACTTGTTCATATGTCTGTTTCTCTCATTGAACTGAAGCTTTTGAAAGGCAGGTATCATATTTGTATTGCCCAGTGCCTAACTAGGTACCTGGAACAAATTAGGTACAGAAGTGTTTGTTAAGAGAATGAATGCACATGTAAGGCTGGAAGAGTGGGAGAGAGGAAAAGTTCAAGGTAAGGTTGGAGATAGACTTGATAGTATAGGGACTCGTAGGCTGTGGCAAGGGATTTAGATTCTCCTTTAAGTGCAGTGTGACACCACTAAAGGGTTTTAAGTAAGGAAATGACATTATCTGATATATAATTTTCAAAGAGAATCTGGCTGTTGAGTGGAGAATGGATCATACAGAAGTTAAGAGTAGAAGCGGGAAGACCAGCTATGAAGCTAAGGGAGAAATCTAAGCAAGACTGCTTGGGCCAAAGTGGTGGCAATAGAAATGGAGGGGGTAGTTTATGTGAGATATGTTTTCTAGGAAGAAGTAATAGAACTGCTGTTGATTTGGATGTGGAAGATGTAAAAAAGAGGAGTCAAGCAAGGTGTCTGGGTTTTTGTCTTGAACAGGTAAGTTGGATGATTGTACCCTTTACCAAGACTGAAAAAACCATATGGAGGGAAAATACCATTTTGGACATATTAGGCTGTGGGTACTTGTTAGAAATCCAGGAGGAGAAATCACAAAGGCAGATAAATTTACCATTCCAGAGCTCAGGACTTGGGTTAAGAAAAGAAATATAAGTATGGAATTCATCAGGGTATAGTTACTTTTTTTTTTTTTAATATATCTTTATTGATTTCAAAGAGAGGAAGGGAGAGAGAGAGAGAGACAGAAACATCAATGATGAGAGTCATTGATTGGCTGCAGCCCGCAACCCGGGCATGTGCCCTGACTGGGAATCGAACCCTGATCTCCTGGATCCTAGGTCGATGCTCAACCCCTGAGCTACGCCCAGCTGGGCAGGATATAGTTACTTTTTAATCCTTATCCGAGGATATGCTTTTATTAATTTTAGAGGGGGGGAAGGGAGAGGGAGAAAGAAACATCAATATGAGAGAGAAACATTGATTGGCTGCCTCCTGCACATGCTCTGACCAGGGATTGAACTTGAAACTCAGGTATATGCCCTGACTGGGAATTGAACCAGCACCCTTTTGGTACATGGAACAACACTCCAACCAGCTGAGCCAACCAGCCAGGGCAGGATATGGTTTTTAAAGTCTTGGAACTAGATGAGATTACTCAAAGAAAGAGTCCCTTCAATATCTAGTGATTAGGTAGAGGAGAGGAGCTATACCAGTTGGGCTAAGTGTAATGTTTTTGAGATTCATCCATGTTGTAGCATATATTAGGACTTCATTAGGACTTTGTTCCTTTTTATGACCAAATAATGCTCCATTATATAGATGGATATGTTTCATGTATCCATTCATTAGTTGAGGGACTAAATTAGAGTTGTTTCCACTTTTTGGCTATTATGAATAATACTGCTAAGAACATTTTTGTGTGGACATATATTTTCATTTCTCTTGGATATATACATAGGAGATGACTTATTGGGTCAAGTGGTAACTCTGTGTTCAACTCGTTGAGTTCTTTGAGGAACTGCCAGACCATTTTCCCAAGTGCCTGCAGTGTATGAGGGTTTTGATTTCTCAATATCTTTGCCAACGCTGTTTTTAACTGTATTTTTATTATAATCATCCTAGTGGGTGTGAAGTGGTATCTCACTGCAGTTATGATTTGTGTTTCTCTGGTGACTAATGATGTTGAGCATCTTTTTGTGTGCTTATTGGCCACTTGTATATCTTTAAAGTAATGTATATTCAGATCCTTTGCCCATTTTTAAATCGGATTATCTTTTTATTATTAGTTGTAAAATTTCTTTAGATAGTCTAGGTACAAGTGTCTTACCAAATATATGATTTGCGAACATTTTCTCCCATTCTGTTGGGCCTATCCACTTTAAAATTAAGAGCAAGTAACAATTTTCCATTACATAAATATAAATAGGAAGAACAGACAAATAAGACATCAAATAGAACAGAAAATAGAAATTAAGATAAAAATGAGAAAAAGGTATACATTCACAAAGAAAGACAAATTCAGAGAAAAAGACACAAATGGATATATAGACTTGTAAATTTAGTATTGGGGTTGACAAACTTTTTCTAAAAGGGCTAGTAAATATTTAGGCTTTGCAGGCCATATAATCTCTACTTCAGCTACACAACTCTTCTGTTGTAGCACAGAAGCAGCCATGGGCTATATGTAAACAAATGGGTATGGCTGTGTTCTAGTCAAACTTTATTTACAAAAACAGGCGGGGGGGGTCATTTGTAATACTTTCAACAATAAAGATAAATTTTAAAAAATAATAAAGTGATTAGAAGAGTAAAAACAACAAAAAACAGGCAGCTAGCCATGATCAGTAGTTTGCTGACTTTGAAGTCATGTTTTGCTAACGTATACATAAATAACTACCATATATACAATTTGAATAAAATCAGGTCAAGGGCCGATCTCATCAATAGATCTGACCAATTCTTCATCTCTCACTTGAATTTTAAAAAATTGAACAACTGAGATAGTCAATGGTGCTTTTGAAGAAAGGTTTATTTAGTCTAAGTTTCTCTGAAAAGGAAAAGCTAATCTG